GCTCTGACCCCGGCACAGCTCCTCTGCTGGGTCCCACGGGACCATCTTCCCACACCCCCATGCATTTGGGGCTCCCTTGGTGAGCTGCCTGGCCTGTCTGCTCCAGAAAATCCCAGTCCCAGGTGTGGTCTAGGTTTGGGGCTGGTTCCCTGTGGTTCGGCGAGTGCTCAGGCGACGTTTCACACCAGGGCACAGCAAGGATACAGGGTGGTCTACTGACCTGCCAAACAGTGCAGGTAGCAGCAGGCGCTGACCTGTGTCCTTAGCCCCTTTCTTGGCTGCCAGCCCCAGCCCTGAGCCCTATGGCACTGAACGGGGATGGAGGGGCCAGCCCAGCCAGCCTGCTGCCCCTACCCCAAACCTGAGTCACTCTTACATGAGCTTGGAACACAGCCCCTGGGAAAACCAGCCCCGTAAACACGCGCCCGTCTGTCATCATGCCCGGGTGAGTCAGGAGGCTATAATTAGCCGGGCTGACCCCCCACAGCCCCTCTCGCCTGCCTGTACTGACAGGCCTCCCTGCAGCCGGGGGCCGGGATCTGGAATAATAACCTGTTTATCGCTGGGGTTTGCTGGTGAATCTGGAAGCGACACCCTGATCACGTGAACCCGGTATGGATTCAGCCTGGGGCAGGTGGGGGTCGCAGCCTTCATGCTTGAGGTTGACACTTGCTCTGCCTGGCCACGAAGATGTCTCCTGGGCAGCTCCTTCTGGGCCAAATGCCAGATTTTCACCCTGAAAATGGGGTAATAAGGGGCAGCTGCTACTTGGGCAACAGGGGTCACATCCCTTGCTCAGGCACCGCTCAGTGATAGAGGAGCTCATGACACAGGTCCTGGACTCCGCTCCCAGCTCTGCTCCTGCCCTTAGGGCAGCCTCTTGGTCCCCCTGCCTCAGTTTCCCCATCTGTTGGTAATACACCTTGAGATCTGTGGATGGAGACTGTTCAGGACTGTTCCCCTGTCTCCCTCAACTCCAAAGTACCTCAAGGAAACCCTCTAGGGATCCCTGGGCAGATGGGGAAAGATCTCCATGCATCTGAGCTGTCTGTCTCTCCTCTCCGGGGCCTCCTTGTCTCACCCAGTGGAGCCATAAATCCCAGCCCTGTCCCCATGCAAGGGAGCTGACAGGGATGTCCAGCATGCAGGCCGAGAGTGGTGTCCTGTGACGGGGTGGCACCCCTGTGGAGAAGGAAATCCCCTTTCCTCTCCCATGGAAGGAGCCAGCAGCTCAGATGTGCCTCCTGCGGGACGTGGGTGCCTAGACGGGGCAGGGCTGCACCGGAGGTCCGGGCACAGCACAAGGGCCTCTCTCTGGGGGGGACACCAGCCTGCCATCTCCCAGCAGAAATAGGATCCCAGGCCGGTTGCCACAAGCAAGCCAAGTCCCCCCTGAAACCAAGGTCCCTGTGGGGGACACCACCCTGGGGCCCTTTGCCTAAGAGGTGGGGCTTCACCCCAGGGGTGCCTGCCAAAGGCTGGAGGTAGGGCTGCACCCCAGAGGTGGCTGCATTTCAGTGGCAAACAGAGAGGGCTTCTCCATTCCCATTTCCCTGTGGGTGAGGTTGCAGGGAGCTGAGCAGCTGGGCCCCAATTAGCAGCTCTACCCCAGGCAGGAGCAGTTACCAGGCGGTATTTCTTTTATTAACACTTCTGCCCTGGAAACTGGCAGCCGGCAGCCCAGCTTAAAAAAAGAACGGCTGGGATCTGAGCTAAGCAACTCCCACCCCCCACAAGTGCCTGAGACCATGGCTGATTAGGGCTGTGCTAGCCTCCGCCAGGAATAGCTGGAGCTGCAGTGCTGGATGCAGGGCCCCATGCCAGCTCGCTGGCCCCGGGTTTGTGCTAGTGTCAGGCAAATCCTTGGAGCCTAGTTGCTCTGCTAGTCGGCATCTCCAAGTTTTATGCGCACAGCCACAGACGGCCCCCAGGACTGCGGCTGCCTGCAGAGGAAGCCCCGTCGGGCCTGGAGACTTGAATTCCTTGCCTTGCTGGGTGACCTTGGCCAGCAGCTTCCCCTTCTTCCTCCTCCTGGCTTATATCAGGCTCCTCTCTTTGGCCTGTCAGCACTTCGAGGCAAGAGGCAGCTCTCGCTGTGCGTTTGTCTGGTGCCTAGAGCAATCTCAATGCAGCCCCCCGCCCTACAAGAATGACACTCTACTCCCAAGCTCGGCCGCACAGGCGGGACTGGGGGAGTCGAGCGAGGTGGCCAAGGTCAGCAGAGAGTCAGTGGCAGAGGCAGGAAGGAGAAGCCATGTTTGGTGCTCAGCCCTGTGCTTGAAGCACCGGGCTCAGCCTCCTCTTCTCCAGGGGGGGACCAGGCCAGTAAACACAAAGCCAAAAATGTCTCAGCTAATTAGCAAGTGGCCCAAGAAAATCTGCAGTCAAGAGCCTAGGGAGGCAGGCTGGGAGGTTGCTAGAAAAGGATGTTCAGAAAGCTCAGATCCCGGGGCCCCAGAGATACCGGCCTGCTCCTTGTACCCCTACCGCTGTAGTAATAACCGTGTGATCCTAGCGGGGTGGGGACCAGCCGCTCCCCGCAGCTATGGGAGCTGCAAAGGGAAAGCGGGCTCTGCCTGTCCCATCCAGGAGAGTGCATCCGGCTGGCTTTGCCTACTGTTTTGCAGTAGAAACGTAGCTCTCGCCAGCCCGAGGTGACCCCATGGGGACCAGGAAAGGTGAGAGGTGATGTCGTTTCAGGAGTGACAGCTGAGCGGGGAAAAGGTATTTTTAGACTGTGTGAGTGGCCTAGATTTCCTGTGCTTTCTACCCGTGTAACTCCAGTGTCCAGTGAACGTGCTGGGGGAAGGTGGCCTCTATTAAAGCTTCAGCCCACCTCATCCCTCCTTCATCCGACATAAAGGCCCACCCTTGTGTTTTGGTACAGGTGAGGGCTTGATCCCTTGCAAGATCCATCAGCTCGCCCCATCTGGTCCCTTCCATTGCAGGACGGCCCCGTGGCTACTGAATCTGATGCGGAGTTTCCTCCGCTTCCCAGGAGAGCCGGAGCTGTCTCCATCCCCGCGCTAAATCATCCCTTCCTGCCCTGGAGCTGAGGCCCCATGGGGAGCCGCAGGCTGTTACCGTGCCTTGCTGAGTCCAGCAAAACGTTTTGAGCTCTCTCAGTCTCTCCTCTTCAATCTGCCTCTGGTCCCCGCGGGCCATTCCAGCGGCTCTCCTCTGCCTTTTTGTCTTTGCCCGTGCCTGCCGGCGTGTTTGCTTTTAGATCAGGCTTTCTAACATAAGAGCCAGATCCACTTTTTTCCTCCTAGTAAAAGCAGGTAAGAGGGACCTGCAGGTGGAGAGTGTCCTGGCTTCTGATGGAGTCAGGTCGGCGCTGCCTGTGCTCTCCTCTCTCGCCTCGGTGCAAGCAGTGGTAGCAGCAGCTGATCCGTCCCCTGCGCCTCTGAACCACCTGCAGTAACACAATCCCGCTGTGGACATCCCCACCCTGGGAAAACATCCTGACAACAACTGGGGCTTGTTGAAGAAGGGGAGCAGGGAGCAAGGGCAAGAGGGCACGTTGGGAATGGGTCTTGCAGGGGTGAGGGCACTGCCAGCCCATGGTGGTAGACCCTAAGCCTGACCCTAACCCTAACCCTAACCCTTCCCCTTCCCTGCAGTCCCCATGTAAACGGAGCTTGTTTTCCTCTGGGTCCTTTCCCGGAGGGCTGGGCTTCTCCAGGGACCGGGGGCACGGCTCGGCTGGCTCCGCGTGGCTGCCGGGAAGGTAAACAGGATGTTTTCCATCTGGATCTGGGTCAGAACTCGTGGTAGGAACCGACACGCCTGCATTCTCCTGAGCGTCTTTCCAGGGAATTGCCTGCCGCTCACCAGCCCGTCAGCCGGGGAGATGCACAACAACTCTCTGAGACCCGCCGAGAAGCAAAGAAACATAGCCTGGTTATGGGTGCAGGGCACCTAGGGGCGCTGCACGTGGTGGGATAAAACAGTTCCAGGCATGTTAAGGCATGTCAGTGGGCAGGGGTGGATCCAGGGGTTGCACTTGCCCCCCCACCTTTCATGCTTGCTCCATTCAAAGTTTAAAACAACTGTCTGGCCATGAAAGCAGCATTTCTATCCAGGCAGCAGTGAGAGCATCAATGGACTTCACGGCCCATTATAATTCACCTGCTTCCTTCTCCGTGCCTCACTCCACAGGTGTTAACCACCCTCTTTCCGTTTTCTGGTTTATTTTTAAGTGGAGAAAAATAGGTGGTGTTTTATATGTGATGATGCATCTCCGCACATGCACCCCCCTTTTCAAGATGATAGATCCACCCCCGTGGGTGGTTGCAGCGTTAAAGACTGTGCAGAGGGGGAGAAAGTCAGGGACTGGCAGGAGAGGCTGCGAAACGGTTTGGGTACCGCGCAGCTGGTCTGCCGCTGGCTTGGGTTGGGTGGCACGGCCAGTCGTGGGACTCTGGAGCGCTGCACGTAACGTGTACGAGCGCCCGCAGACACTAAGATGCGTGAACAGTTTAACGAGCTGCGAGAGGCTTTGCTGCAATGCCTGGAGAACGGGAGATGCACCGGGAACACCCTGGGTTGGAGGGCGCAGGCGGGGTGAGGATGGTGGGGACGTGCCCTTGGGGAGGACGAAGGCTGCCTTGGAAATGGGGCATGGGATTGAGAACCACGAGCCTCGCTCCAGGTTAACCCTTCACAGCTCAGTAAGCAGGGCTGGGTGGGGGGTAGGCTGGGGCTGCTGTTTGCTGTTAACCCCCGAGAAGCATGACTCTGTTGACAGCTGCATCTCCAGTTGCTTTGTCCTGAAAGACACTGGAAATCCCTGGAACCGTAGCCACGGCAAGGCCCGAACACGTTGTCCTCAGCCTTGTTTACAGCCCCCCCGGCCCTCCAGGGGGGCGATTGCTCACTCTCACATGTGACAGGCAGCAGTTCAGCTGGAAACTTGACCCTTCCCAACTGGTTTTGCTCAACCGGGGCCCATGTGACCCTGAGATAAATTATAAATAGACACCTAAGAGGAGCGGCAGACAAAGGCAGGAGCCAGGCTTCAGTTTTAGGGAAGGAGCAAGACTTTGATCTCCGAAACCCAGCCTAGGGGAAGAACCGGGACCGAGCCAAAGCAGCAAACTCAGGAGCCAGTCGCCCAGCAGTGGATTTAACCCAGAGGGGCTGAGGGGCACTATGGATTACGAACCCAGCATCATCCGGGACTCGAACCCCATGGAGAACCTGGAGAAGCAGCTCATCTGCCCCATCTGCCTGGAGATGTTCACCAAGCCCGTGGTGATCCTGCCTTGCCAACACAACCTGTGTCGGAAATGTGCCAGCGACATCTTCCAGGTCAGTGGCCAGGCTGGGAAAGGGCAGGTTCCCCCCTGCCTGGCATCTGCCAGGGGGTTCGGAGCGGAGCAAGTCGCTACTACGGGGTCGGGAGAGCTGAATGAGGGCTGGGGCTGCCTAAATGGCCCCTACCAGGGGATCTTTTGATCCCACAGCAAGCCAAATAGCCCTGCTCCAGAAAGCCCATTTCTCAGTAGAGTTGGCTGCACTCAAGGCATGGCTCATCCGTACAGCTTGCGGGTGCATCGATGGAGCCCCGCAATTTGTAGGGTGCCCGTCACTAGGATGCTGGTGCCACGGAGCTAGGGACCCTCCCAGGGAAGGATACTCCTTGGCACCTGCGGGGAGGGGGCTGAGCCCGGCATGGCGACCTGTCCCACCATGTCTCCTGGAGCCATGGCCGTCCCACTGCCCCCGAGCAGAGCACCCCTGGACAGGCCCCAGCTGATAAAGCCGTCAGCACTGAGGCCCTGCCACATTCCCCGCTCGCTGAGCGGCACAGCACTTGTCAAATCTCAGCGATAAAGAGAAGGCGGGGGCGGGGAGGAGGGCAGAAATTGGAGCCCGCGGCTGCAATGGACCAGGGCCTGCTGGCTTGGTGGGGTGGGGGCGGCCGCGGGCAGGGCTGGGGCTGTCAAGGATGGTTTATAACTAACAGTTGGTGCATGGTGAGGAGGGAAAGGCGGCATCCCACCAGGCTGGCAGCCACCTGCCACCGTGGCTCAGGCCTTTAGGGGGTGGGTAAAGCAGCTGTGGAGGTACCTGGACTGCGTGAGCCTGGGAGGGTCTTTCCCCTGCCTCAGTTTCCCCAGTGTGGAGCTAATAGCAATGCCCCCGTCATGGCTCATTGGTGAGTCTCGGTGCCCCGAGTCTTGGATGGGCGGGGTGGACAAAAGTGCAAATCATTCTGGGGTCCGCGTGGGAGCACCGCCGAGGTGCGGTGGGATGCTGGTGCGGACGGCACGGCTGTCTCAGCCCCAGCAGGGTGTCGTGGGGGGGACCGCGTGTGCCGGGGTCCCTCACTCAGCCCTCTCCCTGCAGGCTGCCAACCCCTACTGGCAGAACCGGGGGACCGTCATCTCGGGGGGCCGCTTCCGCTGCCCCTCCTGCCCCCCCGAGGTGAGCCTGGGCCACGAGGTGATCCTGGACCGCCACGGCGTCTACGGGCTGCAGAGGAACCTGCTGGTGGAGAACATCATTGACATCTACAAGCAGGAGTACTCCAGGTTTGCCCCACCGCCCTCGCCTCCCAGGGCAGACGTGCCCTCTGGCCTCACAGGGTGGGGAGAACGGGGGGAGGATCTGATGGGGGAAATGTTCTCGAGCCCACTGGTTTTCAGGGCACATTGTTTCTATCACCAATCTGCCTCTTATGGGCCTTGCCTCCCGCAGGCCGTATGGAGTAGGATGAGTAGGAGCTCAGATAACTCCAGTAGGATGAGATCTCACACCTCCACCGTGCTCTACATCAGATCATCCCCCTCCCTCCCGATCGCACCAAGCAAGAGGTGTGGGTTGACACGATAGTCCCTTCGCCTTGCAATACTGGAGCCTTGGGAACTAAGTTGGCCGGTGATGCTCGGGGAGAAACTCTTCTTCCGGCAGTAGCTTGTTAGCGTGCTTTCCCAGATCCTCAGCACATTAGTGGCAGGGAGAACCAGAGAAATACCCACTTCACTCGCCAAGGGCTGGGTTTGCAGAGAACGGCAAGGCAACTCTGCTGGGTTTCTGGAGAGCAGGGTCTGGAGGTTGCCAAAACCGAGAGAGATTCCAGCCGGAGATTGGTCTCCACTCAGGCGTGCAGACATGAAGCACAAATACATTCCCACCCCAGACAGCCAACAACCTTCCTCCCCACAAAAGTAAAACCAGTCTAAGGGACTGGAAAGAGCTGTGCTGGTTTCCAGAGGAGCTGATCAAGCACCAAAGTGGAAATAAGAAATCTGTCCTGGATGGAAAGACGGGAGTGTTGTGACCGGCAGCTTGCAGGGGGAAAGGCAAGGGCAGTAGGCCGATGCCAATCCAGAGGGGCTGAAGGGAATTACAGGAGAGAGAAAATAGATCCATTCATAAACGAGGCAGGGAGCAAACACAATGAGGTTTCCACCATGGCCAAAGCCCCAGCCCGGTCTTGGCTGGTACAATGTGATCTAAGCCAGAGCTATGCAGCGGGGAGGCATGCAGGACCCCGGGCAAGGGACTCGGAAACCACGTGTTTATAAGTCAGCAGGTGCAGCCCGGAGTCCGAGGTCTTAAGGGAATTAACTCATGAATCTACTGAATCACTGTAAATATTATTGTAAAGTCATGGGGACGGGGCAGAGGTGATGCGATGGGCAGGTCTGGTGCTCATGGAAAAGCCATATTAGCAGATCCCTTCGAGCTTTGAGGGTGAAATAATGGGGCACGCTTTAGGTACGGAGGAGGGAGCAGGCCCAGATCGACTCCATCCCTCTTTAATCACTTTGTGCAATTAGCAGAGTTAGAGAGGTAGATACAGTGCGGTCGATAGAGCGAGCGAGAGCCCTGCCTGGGCTCACCGCAGCAAAATTAGTCTAGCTGGGCCTATGTACAGCACCTGAGCACATGGCTTCTGCTCTCCAGTTCCCTCTTGAGAGATACCGTATTTTCTCACATCCAAAGACCAGCTGCTGGAAATTGCACTGCACATTATATGCAAGAAGTATGGTAAGAGCAGTTTGTGTCTGACAGGCAAATACAAAAGTCAAATCTGCACTCCGGGAGCAAAGCAAGGAGCAGACTTGGCTCCCTGGAGGCTGCTGCTCAGGCACTTACGACAAAGGAAGATCTTTATTACTTCATTCGGCCTTTCAAAAACAAGAGGCATGTTTTATTCCCGAGTGTGCTGTATGTGAGATAATATGGAAATTCACACCCGCCTGGCTCTGAGCACAGATCAAAAGCTGGCCAAGGGGGCACGGCTGGCCGGTCATACAGAATGGCAAGGGCAGAGCTGGGGCGATGGGGGCATCAGACCTCATAGCACTGGTCTGACATTCATTACTGAGATGGATTATTTATCGAAGGAGCGTGCAGAGGCCTCAGCCAAGGCTGACCTGCCATCGTGCTGGGCGCTATGCAAACACACCAGGAGAGGTGGCCTCTGCTCCAAAACATTTATCGTCTGAATAATCCAAGCAGATGAAGGGAGGGCTGACGAGAGCGGCTCCAAGCTCCCAGCTCCCAGGGTGGCTTCACAGGCCTCTCATGATTTTGTCCCTAACGTCCCAGCTCCCGGGGTCTGGTGAGTCCGTAGGAATCCAATCGCTATTTTTATTCAAATGAATTTTCAAGAGAAGAGTTGGAAAACAGGTCCCTCGATGCCTCCAGAACCAGAAACCACAGAAAAATACTGCCCAGATTTACCAAGTTTATGCCTGTCTCCATGTTCCCAGGGCGGGAGGTGTGATGCTTTGAGTGCAGAGGGGTGGCCAGGGTTGACTTGATTTAACTCCCCTCCTCTCAGCTGCAGTCATGTTACCTATAAAAGGGGAAGCTGACCAAAGGGGCCAGGGCTCAACTGCCTGTGTTTAAATATACCCTGGGCTCCTGCAGAAGGAAATAAAGATCTAGCGGCACCAGGAGTTGGCCTTAAAGAGGCGCGAGGAGCCTCTAACTTGACGGCACCCTGTGTCTATAATTAGGAGATTCTGCATCCTCCGTGAATCTGGGCCCAAGGCACCAGGGACTTAATCATCCTAGTGGATCTAGTCACCTCTATGGCTCGCTCTGCGCTGGCTGGGGGTAGAGCAGAGTGATGCCTGCCGGGAGGTGGTAATCTCAGAGACACGAGTTTGAACGCTCTGAGAACTGGCTCTGAGTGGTGGCAAGAAGGACTGATGGCAGGTGGCACCACTGGACAGGGCTGTCTAGTCCTGACCCTTCCCTTCATTAGCACCAAGGGCAGACAGAACCGGCCTCCCGGGCACTGGACACAGCATCACAGCAATGAAAATGAGACCCAGATCTAGCCCCGTCCCTCCGAGCCGGGGCTGGAGAGGCTGGGGCTGGGGGAGGTTCAACCGCACTAAGACCCTGGTCCAGGCTTTGGGCTCGTGCCACAGCTCAGTCCTAGGCCCGGGTGCCAGTGCTGCTAATGCCTGCCTCCTTTCCCTGCAGCAGGCCCCTGAAGAAGGGCAAACACCCCATGTGCAAGGAGCACGAGGACGAGAAGATCAACATCTACTGCCTGACCTGCGAGGTGCCCACCTGCTCCATGTGCAAAGTCTTTGGGGCTCACAAGGACTGCGAAGTCGCCCCCCTCCAGAACGTCTTCCAGGGGCAGAAGGTACCAGTGGCCCTGGGGGCAGGGGAGCAGCCAGAGGCCAAGGGATGCCCTGCCTTGTCCCTAGAGGGGTTCCCATCCGGTCCCCTGGAACGTTGATTGGCCTCCAGGGATGGGGGGAGGCTCTGCTGGAGACACCCAAGAGGTGCTGAGCTGTGCCTTTCGGGAATAGCTTCGGAGCCCCGTCACTGGGGTATTCATAGCTGGGTGTGGAGAAGTCACCTTCTATATTTAGAGCCCCTCACGAGGCCAGCACTGGCTCCAGGGGCAGCGGGTTCTAGGCACCTGGGAAGGAAGGAATTGCTTGAACAGGGTCCACATATGGCAGGATCTCTCCCGGCACGCACCACGGCACCCCTTGCTCTGCGCACTGGGTTCGGGGGGAGTCCGAGAGCCCTGAGCAGAGACAAACCTGATTGATCCTGGTGTCCACACCCGGAGGGACCAGGCCTCCCCTCACAGGCCGTCGTTACCCCCCCACCATCCTCCTGCCCCCCCCAAGAGACCAGCAGGAGGGCTGAAGCCACCTCTATTTCTGTCCTCCCTCGCAGACCGAGCTGAGCAACTGCATCTCCATGCTGGTGGCGGGGAATGACAGGGTGCAGACGATCATCAACCAGCTGGAGGAGTCCTGCCGCGCCACCGAGGTGAGGCAGGGGGAAAATGAGTGAGCCTGCGGAAACCCGAGTGGCCCCGGAGAAACCCGACCCTGAGCCACAGCCTCAGAGGGCTAGTGTGGGCGTTGGGTGCTCGGCCCTGTCCCTGAGATAAAAGCGCACATGGACAGTCCCTCAAGGCCACAAGGAGAGAGAGAGCGCCCAGGAGTCCTGGCTTCCAGCTCCTTCTTTTAAGTCTCAGATTCAGAGTCTCTTACGAGTCAAACCGGGGATTACTTTCCCCTTTCCCAGTGGCTTGCACCAGTATGTTTGTACCCCCCCCACAGAGGTTGCCTCCCTTGGGGATCCTCTGGGGCCGAGAGCTGAGCTCGGGGCACATATCAGCAGGCGTGAAGGAGTGTATGAGGCTGGCCCCTGCCCCGGGCAGCAACGAGGTGCCCTGCTCCATGGTGTGGTCTGGGAGCTGTGCCCACCCCTTCCCTGCCAGCCGGGCACTCATGCTGTGCTTCCTCGGCAGGAGAACAGCCAGCGGGTGCGGCAGGAGCTGTGTGACAAGTTTGACACCCTGGTCGCCGTCCTGGAGGAGAAGAAGAACGAGCTGCTGCAGCGCATCACCGCGGTGCTGGAGCACAAGACCGGCTTCCTCCAGGCCCTGGTGCAGAAGTACAAGGAGCAGCTGGAGAAGTCCAGCAAGCTGGTGGAGACGGCCTTCCAGTCCATGGAGGAGACCGGAGGTGCCACCTTCCTCATGGTGAGCGGCGCCTGCCACCGGGCGTAGGACACAGGGAGGAGGGGACGGGCACTGACGGGAGCCTGGGTCTAGCCATGCTGCCCGCCCCCATCCAGAAAGATTTCCCCACCTGCCAGATTGTGTCTCCTTGCAACCCAAGCCAGCAGCCACTGGCTGTGCCCTTTGCTACCCCAGCCAGCTGCCAAGCTCCAGCCTAGCAAAAGGGAGCTCCCCAGGGCAGCTGGGCAACATGCTCTGGCTCCAGGCAGCTGCTTCTCAAGGCTCCCCCACATCCCCAACCCTTCCCACGACTGATATCCAGTGGGTGTCAGCTCCACCCTGCTGCTTTGGCAGCCTTCAAGGCCAGTTCTGCTAACCTTTTCTCTCTCTCTCTCTCTCTCTCTCTCCCCCCACAGAACGCCCAGAAGCTCATTAAAACGTAAGTCCCCAGGATGCATTAGTGAGCCGCTACCTCGGTGCCACGCTCATTGTCCCAGCAAAGTCAATGTCCCCGGAGGGAGCTTCAGTTCCCGGGGGGAGCCGTTACTCAGGGTGCAGCTTAAACATCAAACTCCTTGAAAACCAATTCAAGAGCGCACACAGCGCTGCTGCATTGTGTCTCGGTTGCGATACCCCAGCCAGCACGAAAGTGGGACAGGGCAGGACGCTCGAGGGCTATGGGGCTGCTCTGCTAAGTCCTTCTGACTCCCTGGACCATGTCAGCTCCCCCTGTGCATGTGAGAGAGGCTCATGAACTCGGTTTAAATTGGTTTGTAAATGGCTTTAGTCTAACCAGTGGCCAGGGCTCTGTGGGCGGTGGTTTCAGTCCAGCTGAAATGGGCTCCTAAGTGAGTTAAAAGTGAAGGGAGCTTTTTCCTGCCTCCTCCAGAATCGTGGAGGCGTCGAAGGGTGGTCTGCTGGAGAAGATCGAGGAAGGCTTTGAGAGCATGGACTCCTTCAGCCTGGACCTGGAGTCCATCATGGAAACCCTGAGGGCTATTGACTTTGAAGCAGGTATTGTCCTTCTCTGGCCCCTTCCACTCATGCGTTGCCTGAAAGCACTTTTATTGTGCTGTCCACCCAAGCGTGCTTTGCAGGCACTGATCGAGCTCAGGGGTTAGAGGAACAGCCAGGGAGCTAGGAGGACGGCCTCTGAATCAGAGCTTCCTAGACCCTAAATGCTGGAGGCTGCACATAGGAGAGGAACGGTGGGAAAAATCCTGGGTCAGACCCTGTTCACTCTCCCCTTCAGCATCAGCTCTCTGCCGCTGTGTGACAGAGGAGACTGGGCAGGATGGACCTACGGTCTGACCCAGTCAATGGCAGTTCTTCCGTTCTGATGTTCTTCACAACCCCCATGGGACGGGCATCAGACCCACTTTACAGAAGGGAAAACCGAGGCCTAGAAACACCAAACCAACTCACCCAAAGCTAGGCAATAATTTGTTAGGCAAGCCAAGTACAGAATCCAGGGCATGTCTCTTCACAGTCTAAGAGACATCCTTATTTCCCTAACCCCAAAGAAAATGCCGACACGGAGGTGTGAGGGTGTCTTCTCTTGTATAAGCGCTGGGGCGGGACTGAGGGGTTCTAAATCACACCCTTTGTGTTTGAAGATGAGGAAGAGGAGGAATTTAATGAGGAGAGAGAAGAATCAGAAGAGGAGCTGTCTCAAGAACAGAAAGTTGATGGTAAGTCAAGAGCAAAGCGCGGCAGGCTGGCGAGTGGTACAAACCCAGGGACTCGCAGCCCTCCTGGGTCAGGCCCTGCAGACAGAGGCGCCCGGTCTGTTCCTGCTGCAGCATCTCGTACCCCTCACTAAAATAGCAATGAGCTCCTTTGTGCGCTGCGGGGTACAGCTTCCACTCTGCTGAGACCCAACGGCGCGCTCTTGTTGCAAAAAAAGCAGCAGCCTCCTGGGCTGTACGAACAGGAGCATCGCTTGTAAATCAGGGGCCGCGATTCTGCTGCTCTGTTCAGCATGGGCGAGGCCTCCCCTGGACCCCCGTGTCCAGTTCTGGGCCCCGTACATCAGGAGGGATGTGGTCAGTTTGGGAAAAGTCCAGTGCACTGCAATAAAAGTGATCAGGGGCCTGGGAGGCAAGACTGATGATGACAGGCTGCAAGAGCAAGGGCTGTTTAGTCTGGAGAAGAGAAGGTTGAGGGGGGATTTAATCACTGTCTTCACCACCCCGGAGGGTGATGACAGAGAGGATGGAGATGGGAGTTAGGGGGACCCCAGGCAACAGGACTAGGAGCCATGGCTTCATGCTGCAGCAGGGGAGATTCAGATTGGAAATGAGGAGGAACTTGGTGACTTGAAGGGTGGTCGAGCATCGGGAGGAGCTGTGGGTCCAGCTATCACGGCATCCTGCCTCTGACAGTGGGATGCTTTAGGGAGAGCATTGAGCTGGGTAGATCTAGTGACCCATCCCCTAGTCGTTACCCTCCCCTAACGGTTTAGAGGCGCCAGAGCAAACGTCTCCACTTGTTCTGTTCAGCAGCTATTAACAGGACAGTGCAGGAAACTCCCTCTGAGGCATACGCTGCCTGACTTTCTGGAGCCCTTGCAGGGAGAAACAGCAGGTGCTACATAGCAGGGGTCGGACAGGGTGTAAGGATGAGTTTCCTCACTGCAGACCTCTCAGGGGTGGAAGGGACTCCCCGTCAAAGTCCCATTGGGTTTAAGTGATGCTGTCTCCCCTTCACTCCTCAATCTCCTCCTGCCATCAGCCCCCCCTCACCTCGTCTCCACCCCTCCTCTTCCAGCACCTCAATAACGGAGCAGGAGGAAATCCAGAGCTGAAGAAACTCCTGTGCAGGGAGCGGATGGATTAGCAGTCGGGGGACGGGGTGGGGGAACACTCTGACTTTGTGCCAAGCTGCAGGAGGCGGCGTCCGGCGTCCTGGATCCCGGGGAAGAGTCGGGCTTGGCCAAGCAGGATGAAAACTTGAGCAACGGACACTTTTCTATACGGGTGCAAACAGGAATATTCCGTACATTTTATACGGCCTCTTTTTGTATATAATTGTGACAGGACTTGACCCTTGTTGTCTTTTGTAAAAGCAGCTCCCTTGCTCCTTTCTTGTGTCCTGCCCGCTCGCAGGGGCGGGCGATGCTGGTTCTGGGAATGGCAGAGTTTCTTTGCAGCGGGGGGCACAGTAAGGACAGCACCAGACCTCAGCGCGCAGAAGGAGCTGGAGCAGCTAGAAAGGCTTTTCTTTGCGTTGTGTTTGTTGGGGGGTCCAGCTGAGCGCCCCCCAAGACCAGGCTCTGCGCGGCGCGGGCTCCCACGGGATTTATTGTTCACGTTGCACACTGTTACAATAAAGGACCTCGGGTCTTATCAGTGCCTGGCAGCCTGGGTTTCTCGCCGTGCCTTGGCACGGAGACCTTCGCGGTCACCCCGCGGAGCTCGGGGCCGGGCTTTCGGAGGGGCCGAGCCCAGGTGATTTGGGAGCAGCAAACCCCCTCCTTCAGGCGCTTCTAGTCTCCTCCCGGAGCTCGGCACCACGGCGCCGGGCCCCGCGAAGCGCGGGCAGCCCAGGGCGTGCCCCGCGGGGCCGTGCGCACCGGGCGGCG